CCAATCCACGATTGATGTACTCAAAAAGGCTGAACGCCGACTACTTCTGTGTTGGAATCAAAAATCTTGCAAAAATAATGGCAGAATTTGGAATTGCTCCGAAGTTCTCGGCAATCCTCAGAAAAATGATTTATGTCAAGATTTCTGAAACTAAAAAGTGTAGTTTCACATGGTTTTTCAGCAGCAGCAGTAGTAGTTTTTACCGAAAACGGACTGTAAACAAGCCAGCTCTCAGATCCATAACAGAAATAGCTGTTAGGTATGACGGGTTTCAGTAGGGCAAGTGAAAGAATAGCCTGCATCAAGGCAGTTTCCTATGAGATTACTACCGTCCCAGGTGTGCAAACTCAGGGGGAGGGACAATCGCAATAAAAAGACTCGTTTTTTGGATCAAAGTGAAAACTATACATCGTTTCTGACGGGGTGCTGTGGCACCGAGCACAATGGATGCTCCTCAACTCAGGCTCAAATCTTAATCCTCTGGTTCAGAACCGTGTTTGAGCTATTTGGGACCCGAGGAGCGGTTTCGACGGATGGCTACGGTCATTGCCGTTTTATATCGCAAGACCACAACAAAAGGCGTGGGAGCCTTCTAAACAATACGGGTACGATTCCCGCTATCCATCAAATGCACTTCTACACTGTCACATGATAGGCAGAACGAATTTTGACCGCAGAGCCATTTTTAGGGCATGCAACCTTCAGCGAAACAATCTACCGACGGCTTTTTTTCCAGGTTCTGCATAGGACACCGAACCTCTCTGAATGCGGACCGTACAACACTCAATGAGGGCTTCCTCCAGTCAACTGACAGCGTATGTGCCTTAACATTATGCCACCCAAGTTTCTGAGAACATTCACAGGGCGGGTACGACATCTCTCCCGAACGAGGTGTCGTGCCCGATCGGGCGGCGCGATGGGAGGGATCGCGCCAAACGACCGTCTCCCCTTATTTACAGTGGAAGGATACGGTATCGCCGCAAAACCACTGCCATTTGCCGCGGGATTTCGAGGAAGTACCGTCACCCTCAGCCTAGCCTACAAAAAAGTTACATCGCGAGCAATGCTTTTATTTTTCGACTATAATTACATACCTATATAAACCACATATACAGTTTTCAAGGGAATTTTGTAGATCTCGTCTAGTTTAACACCAAGTAAATTAAATTATTTAGGAAAATAAAATTGTACTCACTTTCCCAGTCTTATCGCTCCACTTCTTGCCTCCACGTTTTTTAGAGATGTGCGGATTGTCTTGATAGAGATTTTTGAGTTTATACATCCGCAGCTGAGTGTAAACACGTTTCAACTCCGCCTTAAATGAGTACACTGTTATTTATTTATTAATTTAATACATCCAAGGGTGTGCCATATAACAAAAAAGCAGAAACTGAAAGGCGATGGTCCCTTGAAAACAGAAAAAAATAGTACACATTAGCCTAAGAAAAATTGAGGATAACGCCGGAGTTGAAGTTGATATATGCCTTACTAGAGGAAAGGGGGTAACTGCGAGAGAAAGAGAGACGGAAGCAAGAAGCTAGTATGAAGGAGCATTTGTGGAATAAATGGTGGGACCTTTCTCATATGAACAGAAAGCTGTTTTCCCCTGTGAAATAAAGGCTTCTTCGTGTTACACTGGCCCGACACTGTTATGGTAGTTGTTGTAATTTTCATAACTATTTTTTCAGCTATATCTTTTACAAAGGATCCTCTCTGGAATTTCAGCCGATAGTGGTGTGAGGATTTTGAAACGCAACCATAGATCACGAACTAGGGTAAACTGACAGCAAAAAAAACAGCGATAGTTGCCCATGGTACGAGCAGTAACGTTTCTCACATATAAAAATACAACTTACTGTATATCATTTAGAAACGCTGTAGATTGGAAATTTGAATTTTTTTGAAAGGTAGTCATGTTCTAGTTCATGAAAGTCTAATGGGATGGGGAGTGACTGCTGTCGATTACAGTATGCGAGAACTGGCAGAATGATATGGGCAGTCACGTTCATCCAAACCAGTACTGCTGGCAAGAAAAAAGTAAAATAAAAATAGAAAAGGCCAACAGCTCAACGATCAAACAGCAATAGAGAAAGTTGTCCTGGCTATCCAGCACAGCATTGGCACTCGAGAGGTCCCTGGACCCACCGGGAGAACTGCTTAGAGAGCTGCTACAGCGATCGACAGTAATCTAAGCGGTAACGTTCTTTTTTGCATAAATCGTGCCCCCCCCCCCTTCTTTGCTGGTTTGAATGGATCTGGATATGAAAGACTCTCAAGGATCTTCATTCAGACTCAAAAAACTATGTAAAGAACGATCTTTAGCAAGGGTGCGGATAGGTAACGCGGATTACTCCTGAAGGGTTGAGTCTTTAGCAAGGGTGCGGATAGGTAACGCGGATTACTCCTGAAGGGTCTGAGTCTAAGGAACATTAGACAGTTTCATGAGTTTTACAATCATTTGGGCCCATTGCTCACATCAGTAAAGTGATTTTACTGTTTCACTTAAATAAAATTTTCAGGTGTTCTTAAGGGCATTGTAGGGCGGTCTACCTTTTGAGGGAGTAGCATGTCAAGTAGAAGTGCCGAGACTTCTTCCAGAAGCAATATACGTAGAACCCCGTGAAGGGAGGACCGCTCATGTACTGTACTTATAAAGAGAATTCAGTGCCGCAATGATTCAGGTTTTCATATGGACTCGGTTGGAGAGAGTATCTCTTGATCACCTGAGCAGAAACATCGTCCCGGAAAGACTTTTTACCAGGTCTTATAACAAGCCATCGAGAAAGTGCGAGTACAGAAGACGAAAATTTTTAATGGGAAATGAGCCGGTAGAAATGATTGACTCACCCGGATGTCCTCGGGATTCATGTCGGCTATGGGCACCTCAGCAAAGTCGATGGTGCCATTAAGGATATTGTCCCTAAGCTTGGCCAACGATGGATGCGCTCTGCCTGAATGTCCTCCAAGGGTCATCGCACGACGTGTCGATTCACCTGACACCTAAATCAATGAACTCGTTATCTGAAAGCATATTTTCAAGGACACAACCATACTACGACTTAGTAGCGTTTGGCGTTTCAGCGCCATGGCGAACTTTTCAGAAAAGCTTGGCGCTCAGTCAGAAGCACAGCTTTCTGACTTGGCGCACATCAACATAACGACACGATCTGATCGAAACACGAACTAGTAAGAAGATAGAGGGAACAAGACTACTTTCAGTTTGATGTTCTTAAAAAGAGCTTTACCTAAGGTATGAAAGCCTAAGCCACCCAATTTTTACATTTTCCTGCACCTCGGCCATAGAAATCGTTGCTATCTGGGCAACTGTTTCGAACGAATGCGAGGAAAAAGGCTCTGCATGACATGTGGGTAAAGTGGGCGCCAAACAGAAATAAAAATTTACGATTCTGAAACGGTGGACGAAAAATGCAATAGAAAAGGATCTAACACCATCTGGAGATACCCTTGGAGCCCACGCAACAACTTTTCAACGACGATTGCCCCAGTTATTAACAGCATCAGGGCCCTGTCTTCCGAGGGTTGTGCCATAGGGGTTGTAGAGAGCATAACCTCAGCCAGCCAAAATCTGATTCTGCCAGATTTCAATGAATTCGTTGTTATTTTCCCAACCGATCAGTTGAGACGGAAAGATCCGTGTCAGCTGATCGGCTGGGAAGTGTGGACGGAGCTCATCTCCGTGGTTACTACAAAATCAGCGCCCATGGATGGTAAAGACCCAGTGTCCATTACTCTTCAAGCTTCTAAGGCCTCT